CCTTGACTTAGTAAAATTTTGCGATTTTCAACTTGTGTCGCATGTAACTCAAAAAGTATTTGACCTAGAGTCATGAAACTTTACAGGAATGTTGATCAGCATGTGTAGTTGTGCACCTGGGTATTTTCGTGTGGATATTTTTAGTATTTTCAGAGTTTTTGCCCTTGAATTAGTAAAATTTTGCGATTTTCAACTTGTGTCGCATGTAACTCAAAACATATTTGACCTAGTGTCATGAAACATTACAGGAATGTTGATCAGCATGTGTAGTTGTGCACCTTGGTATTTTCGTGTGGATATTTTTAGTATTTTCAGAGTTTATTGCCCTTGACTTAGTAAAATTTTTGCAATTTTCAACTTGTGTCGCATGTAACTCAAAAAGTATTTGACCTAGAGTCATGAAACTTTACAGGAATTTGATCAGCATGTGTTGTTGTGCACCTGGGTATTTTTCGTCTGGATATTTTTTAGTATTTTCAGAGTTATTGCCCTTGACTTAGTAAAATTTTTGCAATTTTCAACATGTGTCGCAAGTAACTCAAAAAGTATTTGACCTAGAGTCATGTAACTTTACAGGAATATTGATCAGCATGTGCAGTTGTGCACCAGGTATTTTCGTCTGGATTTATTTAGTATTTTTAGAGTTATTGCCCTTCACTTAGAAAAGTTTTGCAATTTTCAACTTGTGTAGCAAGTTACTCAAAAAGGATTTGACATAGTCATTAAACCTTATGGGCAGGTTGCTCAGCCCATTTAGATTTGCACCTGGGGTTTAGCTTGTGGATTTATCCAGTGTGTAGAGTTATTTCCCTTGACTTAGTAAAAAGATTGACAGAACAGTGGCGCGGTGGGGGCACCCGTGTCCTATGGACACATTTCTAGTTATTTTTAAAGTTTGTCTGGGCTACTCCACTTAAATACCACTAATGCAATTTCAATGACAGTTTACTGGATTGATCAAGAACTTGGGCATATTACATGTATTTTCTACTGCAATGAATGATTTTTAGCAGAGTTGAATAAAAAAGCATAATTTAAGGTTCAATAATTTTTGTCACAGTAATGGCTTTTCGATTATTTTTATTTTTTAAAGTTTTGTTTGGACTACTTCTCTATAGCATTTTTTCACAAATGCATTCTTGTTTACAATTGTATTTGTAATTTGAAAGAAATTATGAATTGAAAGAAATTAAAAAGTTTCAGGAAGATGTAACAAAATGAGCCGAGCACAGCGTGAAAGAGATAGGGAACGAAAACAACTTGCACGTGAAGCTTCCCGTGATCAGACATTTAGTCCTGTGAGCTCTGGCAGAAGCCGTTCAAAACTCCAAGAACGAGAAGTTTCCACTCCAGATCAACGTTTATATACAAAGGTAAGTGTATTTCCTTTCTACCTAATCAGAGCATGAAGTGCTGTTAGTATTTGTGATTTGATTATTTTTTATAGCATCCTAAATTAAGCTTAACATTAAAGAGTTTGTTACACATAAACTGACTAAAAAGTACTGTTTTGACCACAGGAAATTACTTTTTAGCTTGACTATACAAAATATATGAAGGGCTGTCCTACTCGCCCCGGCGTCTGTGTCCAGATTTCATATTAAAGTTTTGGTGCAGTAAAATATTTTTCACTTTAACTTTTTCATTTCTTAAGGTATCAACTTAAAACTTCAAATATATGTTCCTCATCATCAACAAGATTTTATGTGACAAGGTTCATAACTCCGGCACCAATACTTTCAGATTAATCTACCCTTGAACTTAGAAATTTTTTTTGAAAATATTTTTTTTCTGTTAATTATTTGTAAATTAAGGAATCAACTTCATACTTCAAATATATGTTCCTTATCATCAACCACATCTTATGTCACAAGTCACAAGGGTCAAACTCTAGCACCAAAAATATTTAGTTATTGCCCTTTGTTAATTTTCATACTTTAATTTTGTCCAGGCCATTTCTCTTCAACTATAAAAGCTATGGACTTGAAACTTCATAGCTGCTTTTCACTTCCTTTTTTTTTTTTAGTTATTGCCCTTTGTTTATTTTCATATTTCATTTTTGTCCTGGCCATTTCTTCTAAACTATATTGTTCACAAGGCGACACATCCGACTCACAAAGTTCTATTTTTTTTTAAAAAGCTATTTCCTCTTTGAAATTATAATTTTACTTTCAACACTTCAAATTCTTTTTGCTCCTATCATTTTGTTTTGAAAGGATTGACTTCAGATTTCAAATTGCTCTCTTTTCCCTTAAAGCGTAGAAATTTCTGTTTAACATTTATTGACAAGATCACACACATATTATGTTGTGCAGAAATATTTAAAATTTGAGTGCTTTTTTGATACTGATGAAGATAGATATTTATATCATAATAGGTATTTATATCATTATTGATTTTTATGCCCTCGCCATATAATGGCCGGGGCATATAGTGTTACCCTGTTACGTCATCCCGTCCTTCCGTCATTCGGTCATTCCGTCATCATTAGTTTCCATTCATTATCTTAGTAAGGGTTGCACACATTCGACTCAAATTTGACATATGGATATGTTGTGAGAAAATACAGCTCAAGTTCGAATTTGGTCATGGTTTGATGATTTTTGGCAGAGTTATGCCCCTTTTTCTTTGAAAAACATAGGAAATTTTCATTTTCCATTCGTTTTCTCCCCAAGGTACAACACATTCAACTCTAACTTTACATTTGGATATGTCATGAGAAAATACAGGTCAAGTTCAAATTTGGTCATGGTTTGATGATTTTTGGCATAGTTATGCCCCTTTTACTTTGGGAATAATATCAAATTTTCAGTTTCCATTCGTTATCTCCCTAACGGTACAACACATTCAACTCAAACTTGACATATGGATATGTCATGAGAAAATACAGGTCAAGTTCGAATTTGGTGATGGTTCGACGATTTTTGGCAGAGTTTAATGCCTCTTTTACTTGAAAATAATATGAAAATTTTAGTTTCTATTCATTATCTCCCCAACAGTACAACACATTCATTATCTCCCCAACGGTACAACACATTCAACTCAAACTTTACATATGGATATGTCATGAGAAAATACAGGTAAAGTTCTAATTTGGTCATGGTTCGATGATTTTTGGCAGAGTTATGCCCCTTTTACATTGAAAATAATATGAAATTTTCAGTTTCCGGTCATTATCTCCCAAACAGAATTACACATTCAACTCAAATTTAACATATAGATATGTCAAAGGAATGCACAGGTCAAGTTTGAATTTGGTCATGGTTTGATGATTTTGGGCAGAGTTATGTCCCTTTCACATTGAAAATAATATGAAATTTTCAGTTTCCATTCATTATCTCCTCTAGGGTATTACACATTCAACTCAAATTTGACATATGGATATGTCAAAGAAATGCACAGGTCAAGTTTAAATTTTGTCATGGTTCAATGATTTTTTGCAGAGTTATGCCCCTTTAACTTTGAAAAAAAGCAAATTTTCAATTCCCATTCATTATCTCCCCAACATATTCAACTCAATTTAATGATATGGATATTTCATAAGAATGCATTGGTCAATTTTGAATTTGGTCATGGTTTGATGATAGCTGACAGAGTTATTCCTCTTGAACTTTGAAAAAAAAATTAGAAATTTTAAGTTTCCGTTCATTATCTCCCCAATGGTTGTACACATTCAACTCAAAATTGACATATAGAGACATCTTAGGAATAAGCAGTTCAAGTTTGAATTTGGTTGTGGTTCAATGATTTTGGACAAACTTATCTTTCTTGAATGTTGGAACAATTTTGAATTTTCAGTTTCAGCACTCATACTTTTGTGGAAATGTATGTAGCCATTAATTTGGCTACAAATATGCAATATGCAATTTACAAAAGGTTAAAACTGAATAATTTCAGTGCCTTTATCATTGTATAAAAATGGTTTGTGTGAACATTGAATAGTTTTCAGGTCTGAACTTAAAATGAAAAAAATAATTTGTTGAAACAAATTTGGAACTAAATTTTATAACATCTGAAATTTTGGCTGCATGTGGGGGCATCTGTGGCATGATGACACATTTCTAGTTCTTTCATAGTTTTGTCTTCCTTATTGCATCCAGTATTTAATTAGTAGAGTTTCTCTGTCTCTTGTGACAGCTCTTGTTGTCTGCATGTGCAAAAAAATGGGATTACTCAAAAAGTAATAAAGCTAAGTTTATAAAACTTGTAGTAAAAAATACAATCCAAATTAATATTGCTTAAAACATAAAAGCCTACTAATGATTGAAATATTTCATTTAATATTTCATTATTTCAGACTTTACGATTAGATGATGTGCTATATTCTCCCTCTTCACTGGCTGATTTGATGGGAAACCGAGACACAGAAATACCAGATGACATCATTGTAGCTGCTCTCAACTTAATAAAGTCTATGTGTGATAATCCACTACAACAATACATAGGGTATTTCACACCGGCAGAGATTCTCTTTAGCCTGAACAGTACTACAACTGCAGTATCAACTGTTGTCAAACAAGCAGTGCCAGATGGACAATTCTCAGTAAATATTCATCCACTACCTGGTCACTGGGTAACTTCATGTTACGACCCTCAGAAAAATCGAGTAAGTGTATATGACTCATTAATATCTCAGACACACTATCGCCAAGTTGTTCCCCAACTGAAAATGGTTTATGGTGTAAAGAATGCATCAAATATACAATACTGTCAAGTTACACAACAAGGAAGTGAACCATTGTGTGGAGTAATGGCAATCTGTTTTGCTTTTTCCCTGTTCTTAGGCAAGGATCCCGAGTGTATAGAATATGACTGTGGAAAAGCGAGAAATCATCTGCGACTGGGTTTACTGCATGGTCAAATGAGTGAATTTCCTTAAATTACAAATAATCTTGAACATAATTCTTGTGTAAGAAATTTAACTGTTAACACTACAACAGTAACTGACAACTTACAGAAATATTTCGAAGATCAACACACACGTTATGATCAAAATCAATTAAAAAATCTCCAAACAAATAGTCAAAAGGAAGATAGAACAAATTGTTATAAGAAACATTTAGATATTTCCTCTGTTGATAAACAGAGCAACAAAAGAAAAAATGACAGATTACGAAAAACGTTAAGAAGGCAGTCAATGACTGAAACTGAAAAAATGCACATGAAATTGAAGGACCGAGTCCGAAAAAGGTTGATTAGAAGTCGAAAGAGTCCTACTGAAAAAGAAAATGATTTGGAGACAGACAAATTGCGAAAAGAGAAAGAAAGATGCCAAATGACTTGTTCTGATAAAGAAAGCATTTTACATAAGGACAAGGTGAGAAAAAACAGTCAAAGAAGCCAAATGACCTCTTCTGAAAAAAAAACTGCTTTAAACAAGGACAAAGTAAGAAAAGATAGACAGAGGAGTCAAATGACCTCTACACAAAAAGAAACTGCTTTAAACAAGGACAAAGTCAGAAAAGATAGGCATAGGAGCCAAATGACCTCTACACAAAAAGAAACTGCTTTAAACAAGGACAAAGTCAGAAAAGAAAGGCAGAGGAGCCAAATGACCTCTTCACAAAAAGAAACTGCTTTAAACAAGGACAAAGTCAGAAAAGATAGGCATAGGAGCCAAATGACCTCTACACAAAAAGAAACTGCTTTTAACAAGGACAAAGTCAGAAAAGATAGGCAGAAGAGCCAAATGACCTCTACACAAAAAGAAACTGCTTTAAACAAGGACAAAGTCAGAAAAGAAAGGCAGAGGAGCCAAATGACCTCAACACAAAAAGAAACTGCTTTAAACAAGGACAAAGTCAGAAAAGAAAGGCAGAGGAGCCAAATGACCTCAACACAAAAAGACCTGCTAAATACTGTCGATAGGTGCAGAAAACAATCCAAACGGCAAAGTACAGCTCTTGAAGAGAAAGTTCTAATTAGGGAAAGGGAATCTGGTTTACGCCAAAGTAAACGAACAAAAACTCAATCATTACATCAAGCAATAGAAGAGTTTCATCTTGCTTCATCACAGGGTCCAGTATATGTTTGTGCTTCTTGTCTGCGTATGCTATATAAACAGTCAGTCATCAAATACAAGCAAACTAAATACATGCAATCAGTAAGCAAAGTAATTTCAACTGATTACCCTTGTTTTGAAAACATATGGGTATGCAATACATGCCACAAACATCTTCTTAAAGGTAGAGTGCCACCACAGAATTTTTCAAATGACTTACAAGTTGATAGATTACCAGAAGAATTGATAGGTCTCACTTCATTAGAAGGACATCTAATTTCTCAGAGAATACCTTTCATGAAAATTATGTCAAGGCCACGTGGTGGTCAGAAAGCTATAAGTGGAGCTGTGGTGAATGTCCCTGTAGATTGTAGTGATACTTGCAAAAGTCTGCCTCGTCCTCCACCAAACTCTTCTTTCATAATGCTAAAATTAAAACGCAAAAAGGAGTACAGATCTACAGTAATTGATCAGGTGATAAGACCAGCAGCTGTTAATCGTGCTTTGAAATGTTTGATTAAGATTAATCCACTATACCAGGATGTAGAAGAAAATGAAGAAGCGTTCTTAATAGAATCTGATGATGAAGATAAGGAAATGTGGACTGATATACTCTGCAATCAAACTGCAGATAATACTGTTAATGTCGGTGAACGCAAAAATGAGACAGAAAATGTGCATAGTGATTTATTCCCTGATGAAAATGAGAGAGCATCGAATCAAACTGAACACAACAATGACGCCAGTGTAACGGAAAGCTTAAATCAAGCAGAAGACAATGACATTGTTTCTTATGAAAATAACACTTTGTTACTGACCACAAACAGTGATGAAACAAATGACTGTAGTTATGCCCAAGAACATGATAATGATGTTAGCGATGATGAAGATTTACATGAGCTGGACATACAAAAAGGAATTCCACTAGATACATGTTTACAGCCAACAGAGTGTCAAGGAAATGACATTATTTCCATCGCTCCCGCAGAAGGAAACCGGCCTTTAAGTTTATTGAACGACCCTCACGCAGAGTTGCTTGCATTTCCTGTTCTGTTTCCGTATGGTCGATTTGGTTACAATACAAACAGATGTACAAGGTTGCATTTTCGTAAATATCTTAACACCCGACTTCTTAATATAGACACAAGATTTGCAACAAATATTGATTACATATTTTTTATGCAGTTCCTTGCTGAAAAGAAGCAGATTGTGGAAAATGTTTACATTGCTTTAAGAAAGACACAGTGTTCAGAGTCAGTTACAGCAGCTACTCTACGATCTTCAGATATTTTAAAAACGTTTATTGCTAAGGACTTGGCTTACACAATATTGAAAAACATTCGTGGTTCACCGGCATATTGGCAAAAATGCATGTATGATTTGCTTGGAATGGTGAGACAACTGGGACAGTTCACATGGTTCTTGACTCTGTCATCTGCAGATCTTCGCTGGACTGATACAATCAGAATCATTGCTCAACAGTCAGGAGTCCTTCTAACTGACAAAGACATTGATAATATGCCTTGGGAGGAAAGGTGCAGGTGGATTCGGAATAACCCTGTTACAACTGCAAGGCATTTTGACTATAAGGTACAGCAGTTTTTCAAACTCATAATACAGAAAAACAAAGCCCTTGGAAATGTAACAGATTTTTTCATAAGAACAGAATTCCAGCAGCGTGGTTCCCCACATGTGCACTGTGTCTTGTGGGTCAAAGACGCACCAATGGCAGGAGAACAGTCTGAAGAGGAAGTCTGCTCATTTGTTGATCAATACATACACTGCACATTGCCACACAATGATGATCAACTACTAAACCTTGTGTCAACACTTCAAAAACATTCACATACTAGATCATGTAGAAAAGGATTGCAGTTCTGCAGATATCACTTTCCGAAACCACCTGTTCCTTACACTCTTCTAGTTACAGAAGAAGATAAAGTTACTAGCAAGCCTAATCCACCTACCAACGCTCCATCTAATCAGACTGCACAGCATGATGAACCAGATGATGATCCTCAGGTGAATTACAAGAATATATTCATACAAGTACAACAGTACATACAACAGTTTGAAAAAAACTACCCAGATGAAAAGTTATCCCTTTCACAAGTGCTCAATGCTTGTAATGTCAGTGAAGAACTGTATATAAAATGTTTGAGGAAGTTAGAGACAGGTGCAAAAAAAGTGCTTCACAAACGAGAGCCATGCGACAAATGCATCAATAACTATAACCCAACAGTACTCAAAGCTTGGCAAGCCAATATGGACCTTCAATTTGTGACTGATGTATACACCTGCATCATGTATATAGTGAGTTACATTACAAAAGATGAAAGGGAATTGAGCGATGTTCTCAGACAGGCATCAAAACAAGCGTGTGACCAAAACATCAAACAACAGTTAAGACAACTGGGTAATGTCTTTCTTAATCACAGGGAAATATCAGCACAGGAAGCAATATACAGAGCTCTCCCTTTACCCTTAAGACGAACTAGTCGTACTGTTATATTTGTGACAACAGATTTGCCAGAGGATAGAGTTAAACTAGTGAAGCCTTCAAATATTCTTGAGCAACTTGATGATGAAAGTGAAGAAGTGTTCTCAACCAGTGTAATTGATAGATATGTGGCACGACCAGACTCATTTAGTCAAATGACATTAGCAGAATTTGCCTCTTGGTTTACCGTGACAAGCAACTCAACTAAAGAAGATTTCCTTCCTGACATTATGGAAAATGAAGAGGAGTTGCAAGGAACAGTGATCAAACTCAAAAATGGCAAAGGTCGTATGAGGAAAAGAAAAACACAGGCTATTGTAAGAACTCATGTGTTTTCAAAAATGAAACAGTCAGAAAAGTTCTACCACTCTAAGTTAATGCTTTATTTTCCATGGCGAGATGAGAATGAGCTGAAACTTCACTTCAGTACTTTTCAAGACGCATACCAGAATTTAGAAGAACAAGTCAAAGAAAACATGAAGCAGTTTGAATACAACAGTGAAGCAGTGGATACAGCTTTGGAGGATTTAGAGGAAAATGGCCCAATGATTGATGTTTGGGATACTCTGAACAGTGAAGCTTTGCAGAGAAATGCAGATGATCTTATTGCTCCAAGAATAGTAGACACAGATTCAGCAATGATTAACCCTGATTTTTTCACAGGGATAAACTCACATGACATTCGAGGTGATATTGGTACCTCTGCAGCTACTTATTCGTTAAAAGATAATCTTTTAACCGATGAAGAAAACCGAACGCATATCCAACACCTAAACAAGGAACAGAGGGAAATATTTGATGAAATATTAAGATGGTGTAGAGAATACTCCTACAGTAAAAAGTGGGGTAGCCCACCCCCACCATTTCACCTGTTTGTCACAGGAGGTGCAGGGACAGGCAAAAGCTACTTGATTCGTGCAATTTATAACACAGCAGTTAGAGAGTTGCAAGGAGAGGGAGATTGTTCCTCTGATTGTACTGTGTTACTTACAGCACCAACAGGTACAGCTGCCTTTAATATAGATGGCATGACAATTCACTCCGCACTCAAGTTACCTATTAAGCAGCATAGCAAAGCAGGAGGAGAATATACACCATTATCACAGGAAAAATTACATGACTTACGATGTAAACTGAGTTATTTGACTATCCTAATTATAGATGAGATTTCAATGGTGAGTGCCCAGGACTTATACCATATTCATCGTAGACTCTGTGATATCAAGGGCACATCAGATCCAGGTACATACTTCGGAGGTGTTTCAATCCTAGCATTTGTTGACTTATACCAGCTTCCACCAATGGGAGCAAAACCTGTTTTTTCATTGCCTGAAAATGCTTTAGCAAGATTAGATGGTTCATTGTGGGAAAACCTTTTCACCATCCATCACCTTGAAACAATAATGCGTCAGAAAGATGATGTTGAATTTGCAAATATGTTAAATAGAATAAGAGTAGAATCTCATACTGAAAATGACATAAAGGTACTAGAAAGCAGAATTGTTCACCCTGGTGACCCAGATTATCCGCAAGATGCCCTGCATGTGTTCCCTTCAAATGAAGAGGTTGATAGCCATAATGCCAGGAAATTGTTGTCATTGAACATGCCATTGGTGACATTTACTGCTGTTGACATTAAATCTGACAATACTCCCTTACCTGAAACCCTTAATCTCCCTAAAAACCAGTCGCTCACTGGTGGTTTATGTGAAAAACTATCTCTCTGTAAAGGAGCAAGAGTTATGATCACAAAAAACATAGATGTGACTGAAGGACTAGTAAATGGTACACAGGGTATTGTAGAAGATTTCTGGTCAGCTCCAACCGGGGAAGTCACAGCTATAATTGTAAAATGTGATCAACAAAAATGTGGTCAACAAAGTCGCTTGAAATTCCCTCATATAGCCAGAAAATACCCAGGTGGAACTCCTATATTCAGAGATGAAGTACATATCCAAACTAAAACTTGTACAGTAATCAGACAGCAGTTCCCACTCCGTCTATGTTGGGCATGTACAATGCACAAAACTCAAGGTATGACATTGCCCAAGTGTGTTGTAAGTATAGCAGGCCGATTTAATGATGGACAATGTTATGTAGCTCTAAGTCGTGTTACTTCTCTCAGTGATCTCTTCATAACTAAATTTGATAAAAAGAAGATTAGAGCCAGCAAAGACAGTACTGATGCACTTCATAAGATGAACAAAAAAAAGTTTAAAATTTCACGAAATCCAGTCATCACAAAGCCATCAAATTTTTTTTCTATTGTGCTTCAAAATGTGCGATCAGTTGTAAAACATATACAGGATATAAGGACCAGTCACGACTTTAGCTTAGTTGATCTACTTTGTTTCACTGAGACATGGCTTAAGAGACACAAAACACCAGAGATACAAGGTATGCGTCCATTTCGACAGGACAGGTCACATAAACGAGCTGGAGGAGTTCTTGCCTATGTGAACACCAACTTCGAGTCAACCTGCCTCAAAGCTTCAACATCAATTCATGCTGACCTTCTATTGGTGAAGATTGACATTTTCCAACAAACACTGTATCTCGTGTTAGTTTACTGTGCACCAGATGGAAATAAGAATGCAATAATCAGTTGTATAGATGATATTTTAACTCATATTCCACCTGATCAACACCTGATCATTCTTGGGGACTTCAACCATGTTACTCTTCAAATAAAATCCTTACACAACATAGTGGACTCTCCAACCTGCAAGACTGGTTCTATTCTTGACCAAGCATATACAAACTGGAAGACAAAACCTCTGGTTTACCTGTCACCAGCCTACTTTAGTGACCATGACACTGTATGGATAGGATTGCCACTGTCTGACTTATTGTAGAATGATAAAGAATACAAGAACAAGTGGTCAGTGATCACATGTGCTGCCTCATGATTGTAAATTTCATGTTACAGCAACTGTTTAGCAGGAAACCCAAAAATCATTAACAGAGCAAAAGGCGTTTTTTATTCATTGGCCATAACTCGGCCAAAATCATATTGTGCAGAAAATCTTTGTAATATTCGCAAGTACTTGCTACCAATCAATCTTGTAAAGTTTCATTGAAATTGCATTGGTTGTATAAGATTTGTCCAAACAAACTTCAAAATGAAAATAATTAAAGGGCTGTAACTCTGACAAAAATCATTTAACCATGAAAAGCCCATGCATGATCTGTACATCTAGACTTGGAAAAGATCATTCCTGTAATTGCACCAGTAGTTTCTAAGAATGATTAATTCATAAGTACTTGAGCTACTTTATCCTGTAAATGTTTCATTTTAGTATCATTTACAAATTTTATCTATTCGGTTAGTGAGAATTTCATTAATGGTTTAAAGGAACTCCACTGAGGTTAAAAGCCTAAAAACATAAAATTTTAATTTTTTACATCGATAAATATGAGCATTTAAAACAGAAATATAAATAAAATATAATTAAGAAATATATAAGATAACGTTTAAACGCTTTTCAATTTTGGGTCATTTTTCACTATTATAATAATTATTCTGGAAAAACGGAGCGAGTTTATGATCTGAAATTTTGAACATAAGTTATTAGTCTAGATCTACATCAAATGGAGTAATAATCTCAAAAAATTATTTCCAGTCCCGTCATGTCAAAAAACCTCAGTGGAGTCCCTTTAAGAGGAGACCTTGCCACTTGCCACTTCTCTGTAAAGGCGACACATAAATAGTCAGTTTAAAATTTTATACTTTCTTTAATGCATATTTAAACAATTTTAAACATTTTCCAGCAAGTACCTTTAACATAATATCTTCATGCTTAATTTCGTACAAACTACTACTTTTTTTCCAAAACCTGTTTGGGGAGCATAAACCGGTTCAACCCGCTCTTGGTTTTATTGGTTTAATATTTTGATACCATTGTAATTCTATTGGACATGCATACCAAAATTCAAATTACAGCAAATTCTTTTAACAAGTTATAGACTTTATTCTATTTGCATTTGGAAATTTTTTTTTCTATTCATAAATTAATGGAATTGTTAGAAATCAATTAACGGTTCCAGATCGAATGAATATAAGTAATTTTATTATGTACATTTTCGACCAGTATTTCTAATATTGGACACAATTTTCTGTCCTTGAACATATTTGATAAGCATTGAACCAATATGGTTTTCAACCAATATGGCAATCATCGCACCAATATTTATAGCATTGGACCAATATGTCTGATATGATGAGACAATATTTTGAGCATTGAACCAATATTTCTAGCGTTTTATCAATATTCCACAATTGGACCAATATGTCTCACATAGGACAATATTTTTAGCATTGGACCAACACATGTATTTGTCAGGTATTTGACTAATATGTCTAGCATTGGATCTAAATGTTAAACATAAGCCCACTTTCTCTAGTATTTGAGAAATATATTTAGGATTTTGACTTGTTACATGTATGTTATAATTTCAATTTGTCAACTCAGATTTATGTTACGTAGATGAGTGCGTGTATCAAAGTATTTTTATGTGACACAGAATCATTTGTTATTCATAGCACATGTATGAATTTCTATGAATAAAATCATGTAAACTTGCAGTATTTTTTTTCTCAAAGACTTGGTAAATGAAGGTCTTTTGAAATAATGGTAACTTAATTCGGACCTTTGTTGACATAACAAGGCATTAAATGATAAATGAATAAACTGCACTTGAATGATAGTCAGTGGCTATTGAATTTTAGCTGAACTTTAAAAAAAATACAGGTATTGTTACAGGCACGTTGACGTCTGCAAACTTGTACCTTGATCATAACTTGGTTCTTTGTGTATTGTCTTGACACACTTGGGATAAGACCGTTAAGTAGACCAGACTAACCTTGATCGTCATTGATAGATCTCATTAGGCACATGTGCAATGCAAAAGAATCATAACTCTGCCTTGCCTTATTTTGGAGTTATTGCCCTTGTTTCCATTTTACACTCTGTGAACTTAGTCCGGAACCACAAGAGGTATCAAAAAGAAACTTTCTTGTAGATAGATCACATTGAGAAAAAGTGCAGTGCAAAAAAAATGACAGAACTTTGACTTGTCTTATTTTGGAGTTATTGCCCTTTGTTCATTTTTAGCTCGACTATAAGAAGTATATGGAGAGCTGTACATGTCCTACTCGCCCCGCGTCCAGATTTCAGATTAAAGTTTTGTGCAGTAAAATATTTTTCACTATAATTTTGTCATTTCTTAAGGTATCAACTTCAAACTTCAAATATATGTTCCTTATCATCAACCACATCTTATGTGACAAGGTTCATAACTCTAGCACCAATATTTTCAGATTTATCTCCCCTTGAACTTACAATTTTCCTTAAAAAAATACTATTTTTTACTGTAACTTCTTTATTTCTTAAGGGATCACCCTCATACTTCAAATAAATGTACCTTACCATCATCCCCATCTTATGTGACAAGGTTCATAACTCTAGCACCAATATTTTTAAGATTTATCTCCCCTTGAACTTAGAATTTTCCTTAAAAAAATATTATTTTTTACTGTAACTTATTTATTTCTAAAGGGATCAACTTCATACTTCAAATATATGTACCTTATCATCATCCATATCTTATGTGACAAGGTTCATAACTCTAGCACCAATATTGCAAGAATTATCTACCAATAAACTTAGATTTTTTTTACTAGGAAAATGTTATTTTTTACTATAACTTTTTAGCTCACCTGTCATTAAGTGACAGGGTGAGCTTTTGTGATCGTTTTTCGTCCGGCGCCCGTCCGTCCGTTGTCCGTAAACTTTTACTTTAAATGACATCTCCTCATAAACCACTAGGCCAATTTCATCCAAACTTCCCAGGAATGTTCCTTTGGTGGTCACCTTTAAAAATTGTTCAAAGAATTTAATTCCATGCAGAACTCTGGTTGCCATGGCAACCGATAGAAAAAACTTTAAATATCTTCTTTTAAAGAACCCAAAGAGCTAGAGCTGAGATATTTAGCATGAAACATGTTCTAATGAGTGTCTACCAAGTTTGTTCAAATTAAAGCCCTGGGGTCAAAATTGGCCCCGCCCCAGTGGGTCATTGATTTTCCCTATATGCATATAGTAAAAACTTAAAAAATCTTCTTTTAAAGAACTCAAAGAGCTAGAGCTAAGATATTTAGCATCAAACATGTTCTAATAGGTGTCTACCAAGTTTGTTCAAATAAAAGTCCTGGGGTCAAAATTGGCCCCGCCCCGGGGGTCATTGATTTTCCTTATATGTGTATAGCAAAAACTTAAAAAATCTCCTTTGAAAAAACCCAAATAGCTAGAGTTTAGATATTAAGCATGAAACATCTTCTAGACTGTGAGAATCAATAAGAATTAGTTTCTCTGTGTCCAAAACCTGTTCGGGGAGCATCACCCGGTTCAACCGGTTCTTGTTTGTAATTTAGTGAATGAAATGTTCCTCTTTGTTACATAATTCAGGCTCTTATTTACTGTCAAGCACTAAGAATGGTAGAGCACAACTCTTATTTCATATTTTGTCTTTCTTTACTGCTTAATTTAGTAGAGCATGCTGCCCTTTCTTACAGCTTTTGTAACATTTATTTACTCATTTCAGAGGTGTATGAATAACATGGTATTGTCAGTTTGATGCATGGGTGGATTTTAGACAGTTGATATTCAACCCGTTTCAACTACTTCAAGATAATCTAGTGACGGATTTACCAAATATGAAGTTCCCAGGAATAAGATTGAATATGTTTGAGTGTACAATACTGAAACTTATTGTGATACATTTGATTTTTGAACATGAGATATTTGATGTTTTGAATTGAGAAAGGAGAAAAATAACATTGAAATTGTGGAAAGAAAAAATGACAGCATAAATTAGCATAAATTTTGAATATGTAAATTGAAACCTTCTTGATTATTTGCAGTAAAAATGACATTCATATAGTGATTTAAACATGTGTTAATATAATTAATTTTTGATTAATAAAATTTGGAGGGAGAAAATGGCTAAGTTAAAAACACAAAGGCTCTGTTTAATATAACTTAATATGACAAATATCTTTAAAACATACATCTAATATTGAAATGAGAAATAGTTATACATAAACTGAGTTCAGAATTGAATGATAATAGGAAAAAGTAAATACACATGTACATGTATTAAAAACAACAATAGCAAACAGTTTTAAAAATGATGCATTTTTTGTTACAATAGTCGGGACCCATTTTGTAAAATATAGTAGGATATTTCTTATAAGCATTGCATTATGCTTTATGAGGAAAAGAATGGTTTGTATTTGTATGAATATTATTTTTGCTTACCTGAATTTAGCTTGTAATGAGTTGATAATAAATGATTATGACGTATTGTAATGATTGTAATTGTAATTACATTTTAAGTAATGTCAAGGTTTGTATTAGTTTATTGACTGTATGATTGTAAAACTAGAAGGTATAATGATGAAATTGTGACTGTACGATGGTAAAACAGGAAGGTAAAATGATGAAATTGCGACTGTATGATGGTATAACTAGAAGGTATAATGATGAAATTGCAACTGTACGATGGTAAAACTGGAAGGTGTAATGATGAAATTGAAACTGTATAATGGTAAAACTGGAATGTATAATGATGAAATTGCGCCTGTATGATGGTATTACTAGAAGGTATAATGATGAAATTGCAACTGTATTATGGTAAAACTGGAATGTATAATGATGAAATTGCAACTGTACGATGGTAAAACTGGAAGGTATAATGATGAAATTGCAACTGTATGATGGTAAAACTGTAAGGTATAATGATGAAATTGCAACTGTACGATGGTAAAACTGGAAGGTATAATGATGAAATTGCG